CAATTTCCTAAAGATTGGGAATGTTCAGGATAAACTGGTGGAGCCATCTTTAAATATAAACAACCCTTCAGCCCCTGGACCCAGCATGGCTGCATATTCTCATATGATGCAGCATCGTATGAATGGAAAAGAACGAGCGCCTTCTGAAGGTCGGCGTTCTTGAAATTTTCTTCCTCTATACTTATTTATTGTACTCCTTAGCAACCACTAATTATTCGAGCTTCTATTGAGACTTTTTTTTTTTTCTCATCAAAGTCTCAGAGATTAGCAGTGCAGCTGCGCATCTTCTGGAACAGAATGCTCAAGCTTTTAGTCAAATTACTGCCAACCTTTCCATGTACAAGGTGAATATCTATTAGCTTGTAATAGAGACTGCTTTCTACTGGAACCATTTGCAGTTCATATCAAGAGTATTGGACTACTCTGTCACATTTCACCTGCCTAGATGACTAAATACTATCAAATTTCATAATTTGAAACCACAAGATCGATATTAAGCTTTATTGCTACATGGTCTAGTTCTTAAAAAGAACTGCTACCTGATATAAATGTAAAAATCTTCTCGTGTCTTGAAATTTTTATTTTCTTTCGTTTGTTCCGGTTCGGCTACTCACTATGCTACTATTGGTCCTTTTTCAAGCAGTTGCAGGATAACATTGATCTTTTCTGCCGGACAAGGAATAATATTATTGCTATCCTAAATGAGTACGTAGATATTCCTTCCTTTCAAGCCCAGTCTTTGGGCGGAACCATCATCTGTTAATGGAGATTTTCAATTCTAACTTTTGCAGAATGAGGGAAACTCCAGGTATATTGAGCAAAATGCTACCACTTCCTGTATCTATAAATGAAGATCTAGCAAATAGAATTTTGCCCAGCACAACCTGGTAAGATCTCTAACAAATAGGTTGGCCAGAAAGTTTCTGTTTTTTGGAGTGTATTTTCATCTACTTAGAGTCAAAAGGTGCTTTACTATAGGATTAGGAATGTAGATAGATGTCTATGCAACTCCTTGAAAAAGAAAAGAAGGATATAGGAGCAAATTCTGATGTATTCTTCTGTTTTTGAAATGGTTGGTCAGAATTGGACCGGCTCCATTCTTTTGGCCCTTGGTTGTGTTTTATGCTTACACCAGGGCCATTGCAGAGAAATATGAACAAGAAGAAAGATATGATGTAGGGCTGATTGGTCAGTTAGCCCACTGCCTGACCAATCAAACAAAATCAAATGGATGGCTGAGAAAAGAGTGATTGATCTTGATGTCATGTCTCTGAGTCCCCTCCCCCAGCACACAAAATATAACCAGGGAAGCAAGTGTCAGCTGCTGCAGATATATTGGTTGGGAGATCTGAGTTAAGGGAGGAAGAGAGAAAGGGGAAAATATTGGATCTGCTGCTTCCAATTTGTACTATTTAGGCATTACCTAAAAATAGAATCGTTGTGCACAAATACTTGATATCAAAGTATAGCAGTTCTGTAGTTATCTGTGTCTGTGTGTGTTGAATTTTTGACACTTTCCTGGTGGAACCGCCCTCCCATCCCGTCCTATCCCATCCCATACCTGTGTGCAGTGTCTCTATCTCCCCTGCAATTATTCATAAGCATTATATACATACAAATCTTCTGACATGTCCTAAATTACAAGAATACTCTCCAAACACTAAAACTATCAGAGCTGTGCCTACTTTTGTACCTAAAGTTCAGACTATTTAGTTTCTATCATTTTCAGCTGATTATAAGATGTATCTTTTCTATTAAGGGGCTAGGTGTTTAAATAACTCTTCTTTGACTCATGGCTTATTCCCATTTGCTTTCTTTTCAAGTCTTTGTGACACAATTTCGTGTGGAACAAACTATCTGACGTTAACAAATGAATATCAATAAAGTGCATGACAGTTGGACCATATTTTTATATAAAAGCATGAACAGGTGGACAGAAAAATCTAATTTTCTCAGTTTCTACCAACTCTCAGGATTTGTGATTTATTTCCTTGGGATAAACCGTTGTTGCTTGTTAGGTGTTGAATTGAAAATTGAATTCAATGGCTTGTCGGGTTGATCTAGCTTTTATGCAATTTCAGCAGGCTCTAGTGTATCAGCTATTAGCTATTGACCCGTTACGTATCACCTATAGCATCATAATTTTAAAAAGCGGTTAATAGGGAAATGTCCCACATTCTTATAAGAAATGTTTCATTCCTCTCTCTAACCGACGTAAAATCTCACAATTTACCCCATTTGGGGGTCCAGCGTTCTCGCTGGATGTTTGACTCTGATACCATTTGTATTAATTCACTCTACCGCTAATAGATATTATCCACTTTAACCTATTATGTATCATCGTCAGCCTCACGGTTTTAAAACGCGTCTGCTAGGTAGAGGTTTCCACATTTTTATAAGCAATGTTTTATTTCTTTCCTCTCGTATTGATGTAGAATCTCACAAGCTACTATTCTGTCCGCTCTTAAAGTGTAGGAAAATAGTCTATATAATACTTTTTAGTAAATCTCATAAAAGAGTGAACGTGGTCTTGCAGCTGGTTTATCGACCTACTAACTAATATTCCCTTGGTTAAGAAGGAAGACTAAAGATAAAGACGAAAAAGCGTTTAAATAAATGTCTTAAATCAGTATGGAAAAATTCAAAGTCAGAAGACTAATGGCTCCTCCCTTAAAAAAATAATACACATTACTTACCCCTTCATCTGAGTTTTGAGCCTCTTCAGTTCACACTCTGCTGCCTGTTTTCCCTTTACACGCCATGCCTTCGCCGTGGATAAAACCAGATAATTCCGCCATAATCCACTAGCAATATGCTCCACCCACAAAGCTGATTCTCTTTCAGCTAATTCATAAATGGGTATTACACTTTTGTTCCTTTTTCACTCGCTTTGCTGCTGCTTCTTCTATGTTCACGTCTCCATCTCCATCGATGCAAAGTGCCACCCTGCTGATTTCAAAGCCTTGAAAAGCTTTTCCAATGGCCTTGACTCCCCAGTTCAAGGTTGGGACTATGGGTTCTCTGATTGTTGCCATTGGAAAGGAGTAACCTGTAATCCACCAGCTTTGAAGCTCAACAGTTCCAGTGTTTTCTCCAGAGTTATGGCTTTGGAACTTCCCCAGGAGAGGTTAAGAGGAAATGTTTCGGAGTCTTTGGCAGATTTGGTTTGTCTCAGAACTCTTAACTTGTCAACCAACTTTCTCTCACGTTCTCTTCCGGTGAATCTCTTCTCCCTGCAGAGTTTAGAGGTCATTGATTTGAGTTCTAATGATCTCTCCGGTTATGCGCCATGGAATATCAGTTCATCCTCCATTACGTTTCTTGACATTTCTAAGAACAAGTTCATTGGAGACGTTGACCCTGGCTTCTGTTCAACTGCAAAACAGATCCAAGTATTGAAACTTTCTTCAAACAGATTTCATGGAAGAGTTCTTCCAGGTTTTGGGAATTGCAGTTCCTTGGAGCATCTCTCTCTAGCTTCCAACTTCCTCTCTGGTGATTTGCCTCAAGATCTGTTTGCATTGTTCAACCTCAAAACCCTAGAACTTCGTGATAATTGGTTTTCCGGGGAGTTGAGTTTTCAACTTGGGAACCTCTCGAATCTCGTCTTATTGGATGTTTCATCGAACAATTTCTCGAGATTGCTTCCGGATGTGTTTTTCAATCTCCGGAAGCTCGAGCAATTCGCTGCATCGTCGAATAATTTCTCTGGCGTTTTGCCGGTTTCGTTGTGCAATTCGCCAACCATTTCATCGCTTAGTCTTGATAACAATTCCTTCCGTGGTTCAATCGATGTTATCAACTGTTCCGCCATGGTTCGTTTGGTTTCTTTGAATCTTGGCTCGAATCATTTCACTGGCCAAATTGAGAGTCTCTCATCTTGCCATCAACTACGCATTGCAAATCTTGCCAAGAACAGATTCGAGGGGGATTTTCCAGAAAGCTTCAAGAATCTCAGATCACTTTCTCACTTCTCGATTTCAAGAAATGGCCTCCGTAATCTCTCAGCAGCTTTGACAACTCTTAATCATTGCAAGAACTTGACTGTGTTGATTCTAACCTTCAATTTCTATGGAGAGATTGTGCCTGCAAATTTGAACTTGAGTTTTGAGAATACGAGACTGTTTGTGATTGCAAATTGTGGACTCACCGGTTCAATACCGCCATGGCTGAGCAATAGCGCAAAGCTCCAGATTCTGGACCTGTCATGGAACTCTTTAAGTGGAGAAATTCCGTCTTCCATTGGTGACTTGCGATATCTCTTCTACTTGGATCTGTCTAACAACTCGTTATCCGGTTCAATCCCTAGGAGCATCACGCAATTTCATAGCCTCATCGATCTGAATAACTCGTTGAAAGGGGAAATATACGAGGGATTCTCGTTTTTCAACAGAAATACCCAATCCGCAGGACGACAATACAAGCAAGTCTTAGGGATGCCGCCATTAGTGGATCTCAGTTACAACGAATTGAGCGGAATTATTTCGGCAGAATTTGGGAATCTGAAAGATCTCCATGTGTTAGACCTTAGCAACAACAAATTATCAGGAACAATTCCAAGTACTCTATCAAACATGACGGATTTAGAAAGCTTGGATCTATCCTACAACAATCTAACAGGAACTATTCCAGATTCATTGGCGAATCTCAACTTCCTTTCAACGTTTAATGTGGCTCACAATCACCTTCACGGCCGCATCCCTTCGCAAGGACAGTTCTATACATTTCCGAATTCGAGCTTTGTGAGTAACGATGAACTCTGCGGGTTTCAGACATTTTCTTGTGAGGAAGAATCTGCATCTGACGATGAAGAGAACTCGATTGGTGAAGATGAGGATGAAAGCTTGAGGTCACTTGTAAGCGTGCCACTGAGTGTCGGAGGTGCCGTCGGATTCGTTTCGACAGCCGCCGTTTGCTTCTTCTCCGGCATGGTGTTTCCGAGGGAGAAGAAAAGGGAATTCCGACGACTTCATCATTGAAACAGATCAAATTCAGGGGAATTTTGGAGTTGCTCTGTTTCTCCTCAGATGGAGAAAATCATCCAGATACTAATTTGAGCATAGTCTATCTTTAATTGGCTTATATTCTTAGTTTATTTTTAGTAAAACGAACTAATTATAAAGATTTGAACAGAAACATATGTTAATTACAGCTTGTTATACACATTTTCGTTGAATAGCACTCATAATCTCTATGAAAAATATTAGTATTTTGTATAAAAAAATATTATGTTTTTAAAAGTTTAAAGATATTTTTTTTAAAAAAATTAAAATGTTAAAAATATTAGGTAAGCTTCGTAAACAGATCGCCTCATTTCCCTAATTGGGTTTCGGCCTCATTTCTGTGTTGCTTCTGTTTCAGAATCTCTCTGCGTTTGAATTTCAAGCGATCGAACGGCGGCACTCTTCGCAGTGGCGCGGTTGGGCGATGTCCATAAACCCTAAAACCTTACGGCTTCGGGTTTTACCACCCATTCATTTAACATGAGCATCCATTGCTTTAAAGAAGATGAAGCTTTCCGTTGAGAGTTCTTCCACTTTGCTTCATTCCTCTCAGCGATGCTACTCTTCTTTCGCGGTCTTTTTCAAGTTAGTCGCAGAGCCTCTTACCGAGTAATCTCTCTGTCTTCAAATTCCTCGCATCCGGGTTGCCTTTCTTCCAATGCATTTAATGCCTCGTCATCCCTAACATCAATTAATGGCTATTACATTTCTTGTTTTTGGTTCACTAGCTTTGTTTGTATGTTTCGGCTCCCTTTTGTTAGTTACTCGAATACAAATAGTTCATTTGAATTATTAGACATTGGTTACCTTCGTAAAATCATACAACAAGACCTCTGGAACGATCCTAAGATTGTTATTTTATTTGATTCAGCACTCGCACCCATTTGGGTCTCTAAGATTTTAGTTGAATTGAAAGAAGATCCAAAGTTAGCTCTTAAGTTCTTCAAATGGGCAGGAAGCCAGATTGGTTTCTGCCATGCCACCGAGTCTTACTGCATTATAGCTCACATGCTGTTTTGTGCGAGAATGTATACGAATGCCCATGATATTATTAAAGAAGTGATTTTGAAGTGTCGTATCGACATGATTTTTCCTGTTTGTAATATATTTGATATGTTATGGTCGACTAGGAATGTTTGTGTGTCAGGAACAGGAGTCTTTGACATTTTATTTAGTGTTCTGGTAGAGTTGGGTCTGCTTGAGGAAGCTAATGAATGTTTCTCGAGAATGAGGAAGTTTAGGACTCTTCCCAAAGCACGTTCATGCAATTTTCTTTTGCATAGATTATCAAAGTCGGGGAATGGACAGTTGGTGAAGAAGTTTTTCAATGATATGATTGGGGCTGGGATTGCACCTTCTGTTTTTACTTACAATGTAATGGTAGATTACTTGTGCAAAGAAGGGGATTTGGAAAACGCTAGACGTTTGTTTGTGCAAATGAGACAAATGGGCTTTTCTCCAGATGTTGTCACCTATAATTCCTTGATTGATGGCTATGGCAAGGTTGGTTTACTAGAAGAATCTGTGTATTTATTTAAAGAAATGAAGGATGTTGGTTGTGTTCCTGATGTAATTACTTATAATGCGTTGATCAATTGTTTTTGTAAGTTTGAGAAGATGCCTCGAGCTTTTGAGTATCTCTCTGAGATGAAGAACAGTGGGTTAAAACCAAATGTTGTAACATATAGCACATTGATTGATGCTTTTTGCAAGGGGGGAATGATGCAATATGCCATCAAACTTTTTGTTGATATGAGAAGAGTTGGCCTGCTACCTAATGAATTCACCTACACTTCTCTGATTGATGCCAATTGTAAGGCAGGTAATTTAACAGAAGCATGGAAGTTGTCCAACGATATGTTGCAGGCAGGAGTTAATTTAAATGTAGTATCCTATACAGCTCTAATGGATGGGCTTTGTGAAGATGGAAGAATGATGGAAGCGGAAGAAGTGTTTAAGGCAATGCTGAAAGATGGACTATCGCCCAACCAGCAGCTTTACACTGCTTTGGTTCATGGCTATATTAAGGCAGAGAGAATGGAGGATGCAATGGAAATATTGAAGCAAATGACAGAATGTAACATCAAACCAGATTTAATACTCTATGGCACCGTTATTTGGGGTCTCTGTAGTCAAAACAAACTTGAAGAAACTAAACTTATTATTAAAGAAATGAAAAGTCAGGGTATTAGTGCAAATCCTGTTATATACACAACAATTATGGATGCTTATTTTAAGGCTGGAAAAAGCTCAGATGCAATAAATCTTCTTCATAAGATGCAGGATATGGGTGTTGAGGCTACTGTTGTAACCTACTGTGTACTAATTGATGGTTTGTGCAAAACAGGTTTGGTCGAACTGGCATTTGATTATTTTAGTAGAATGTCCGATCTTGGTTTACAACCTAATGTCGCAGTTTATACAGCCCTTATAGATGGTCTTTGTAAAACTAATTGCATTGAGTCTGCCAAAAAGTTGTTTGATGAAATGCAATATAGGGGTATGACCCCAGATAAAACAGCTTTTACTGCTCTAATTGATGGCAACTTGAAGCTTGGAAATCTTCAGGAAGCTTTGGATTTGATTAGCAGAATGACAGACTTAGCTATTGAGTTTGATTTACATGCTTATACCTCCATGGTTTCGGGATTTTCTCAATGTGGTGACCTGCATCAAGCGAGGAAGTTTTTAAATGAAATGATTGAGAAGGGAATACTTCCCGAGGAGATTTTATGTACATGTCTACTGAGAGAGTATTACAAGCTTGGACAGTTGGACGAAGCCATTGAATTGAAGAATGAAATGAGGAGGAGGGGTTTAATTACTGAACAGTGAAGCCTTGCAGTTCCCAGTCTTAGAACTTGATGAGGTCCAATCTGATCATCTTTGGTGTCTGTATTTTAATTACAAGCACATGTGGTCTTTATTTGGGATTCAGAGAGTATGACAACCCAAGAAACCCACCGTTCAAATGGCCGCCATGTCTGATGGGAAGAACTTGCAGGCCATGCGTGATGTATCTGATGTTGGTTTTAAATGCTCTGATCCAAAATATTCTATTTGATAAGATGCAGCTTTCTAGTTTCTAAATGATATCTGCAGAAAATCCCATCATATCATGCGTTTCATTAATCATCAGTCTTCTATAAATGTGAGTGTCAGTCTTTCTCATTCTCTTTCTCTTTCCCAAAAAGAAGAATTTTGTTTAGACATGAGATACAGGTGTGCAACTTTTGGCAGTACATTTATATGAGATTGAAAGTGATCACTTTTTCTTCTACATTATGCATGGTTCATCCATCCTGCTTGTCTTCTGTCAGCTAATTTGGCATATGGGTTTGCAGGTCCAAAGAGGATTCCTGTGCTACCATATATTGATTCCCGTGGAACCATTCTAGCGAAAATATCTATCTTTTGTTTTACCGATTGAAGCGTACTCATTCAAGTTTGAGGCTCAGGATGGCTTATAGTGAGTAAGGTGTTAACTTGACTCTTCATGCTTGTTTATATTTGAAATTTGATGTTCAGCTCTGTAAACTTATGGTTACCTTTGGAATGGGTAAAGTGATTAAAAAAAAGGCTGCTCTCTTCTCATAGGACTGGAGACTGGAGGTTCTCACAGGAACCAATCTTTCTCTGCTGTTCTTCCTTACATTGAGGCATAAACTAAAACAAGATTTGGGTTGTTCTTTCCTCTATTGAGGAATGTAGGTTCATATGGAGATTATGGACAACAATAAACCTAATCCTAGAGAGACTTTGAAATGCGTCCTTGATTTGGGTTTTCATGAATTGTTATAGTTTTTGCCTACAAATCTTGCTAGGAAGATTTGGGTGGCAAAATTCTTATGAAACTCAGAACATTCCTCTTATGATCTCCTTTTCTCAATTCTATAAATATTCCAAGTTCACCAACAACAGGATTCGTAGGAGGAAACCTCAGTTATCTTCTTCCTTAAATTCATGGCGATTACCACTCTAGTGAGGACAGCAATCATTTTCATTCGTTGTCTGTTTGCTCACAAATGCTGGACTTATCTCTTCCCCTGTTTGGCTCTCTAGATTTGTTGCCTTAGAACATGAGCGTAAGTGGGTTGGTTTTTGGCCAACGATTCCAAACCTATATGTCAAAATAGTATAAATTGAAAAGCAAAATTACACCAAGATTTTTTAAGAAAGCCAAACAGACCAAGCCAACGAACCAAAAACCCCATCTACAATTGATGAAACCAACTGCAGAGTAAAAACTAGTCCAGTCAATCAAATCTATGAAATCCAACCTATTGAAATATTTGCTGTATTGAAACTATATAGAATTGAATACCCTGACATCAGTACCAAATTTTGACCAGACTGACCTGATTGAATCAATTTTGGTTTTCACGGACATGCCTATCTAAGAGTGTTTCAGTGGTGGTGCCCTCCGGGTGGTGTACCAAAAAAAAACATCCCAGAACAAAAGGAGGAGCACGATAACTACAGAACAGGCTCCAATCCAACAAAACCAAGCCTAGATCTTATATACAAAAGAGTCTATTAACAGACACCCACATAAAGAGCATTAAACTGAGCCCCCTCCCAAACCTCTTTATCTTTTAAAAATTTTATATGCCTTAGTGTATTTTAGTCATCTATCATAAACACTGTAATTACTCTTATGTGGTTGTTTTCTTTCTATTGCTAGGCTTAGTTTGTTGCAGCATCATGAAGGTGGTGAAAAGCTACTTGACTTATCACTTAATGTCTAGTGAACTGATTACTAGTACAATCTTCACATTTGTACAGTGATTTTTGGCACATCCATACATTTAAGTTGAACTGAAGCAACTACTTAGATGTATCCCATTAGCTTAGTAAAACTTGAGTTGATGATGACTTGCAAAAGCTTCAGAGTTTGGTTCGAGTGTCATGCCTGTTCGTTATCCATCGTCAGGATCCGTAGTGTAGGGAACAAAACTCGGTACGGGGTCTAAAAGCAGAGCTTGGGTACATTGAGAAGTTTACACCGTTGTCCTGATCATTTGAATATTGGTTCGATTTATTATGGCATGTATATATTTGCTTTACCATTGAAGCCACCGGATGAATGATTTCATAACACACGTTTCTTTGAATTTCTCAGGTGGTTGGTCTGGGAGAGAGCTGGCTCCCAATATGTGAATGCAAGTCTCAAATCTCACGAGTACTGGAAGGAGGAAGCTGCACAATGAAGTGTTGTAGCCTTGCAGAATGAAGCCCAGAAAGGTTAAGTGATATGATTTACTGTTTCTCTGTTAAAAAATCTGCACATGAATTTAAGAACTAAAGCATGGAGAAGAGAAGAGAAGTATAGATAACAGTGTAATAGTATTTCTCAAAATAGTAAACTTTTGTAAGCATAAATGACTTGACATGAACACAGGGGTCATGACTCGAGACAGATAAATGATGGATTTTTGAGATGACGTGATTATAAAGTTGACTCATGGGTTAGTTTTCAATTAGTGTATCTGAGCGAACAGTGAAAGTCGATGACATAAGACTTGTGATGACATCATAAAGCGAGATGGTCATGTTGTTGAGAATCAAAAGGATGAAATGAGATGCAACATTACATATCGACCTTGGCCAAGTCTAGGAGCAAGATTGAGCTTTAGGACCTTGGCCAAGCGTGATGGTCATGTAGATTGTTTTTAATTCTTTGAGGAGGGTAGCAACTTTTCATCCACATTTCATCGATATTTTCATATGATTGTGAGTTCAATATCAATCTAAGTTATAAATTAACATTTTCATTATATCGCAAAAGAATATGTGAAACATAAAAACTCGGCAACAAATATTACTAATGGCTAAATGAGTATAAATTACAAGAACAAAGTTGTTATATAATAAAAAACGACATTTAATTTTAATAGAATTTTTTTTATCGTTGTTCCATACTTGTTCATAAGCGGATAATATTACAAATTATAAATTTTAAACATTAGGTTATTAGATTAAATTGTATTAATTTTATAAGATTCAAAATTCAAAAATTTAATATTTTAGCCGAAATTATAATATCTATAAAAAAAACTCGATTTCTTTTATTTATTTATTTTTTATTTTTTATAATTTAGTCTCTATATTAAATTACGGATGATTCATTATTGATGACCATATATATATCGACATACGTGGCTCGCGGTTTTCATGGAGGAGACATAATGCTTACGTGGAGAATCATATTAAAAAAAACTCGAATTCTGTCCAAGAACTTCCCACGTGGCACAGTTTGAGTGGCTGAGAAGATGATACTTCTTTACCGTTAAGCTATATATTATGTGGCCTTGTGATCTTCCTCCCCTGTCCTTCGGACCTTATCTTCCATGGCCGTCACTGGCTCTCCCGACTGGTCACTCCCCTCATCAACCTGTTTCAGAAAATCCCGTCTCATTACTTTCATCCCCGCCTCCAATCTCGCTCTCCTTTTTTCTCTTCCAAATCTTCGATCTCTTCACCTAAATTCCTCCGGGTGTCCGTCTCCAATCCTAGAATCATCGCCCACTTCCCTGCCCGAGATCGATTCGGACTCTAATCTTCAGGATTTTCAACTTCCCTCGTCGTCCAGTGTAGAAGATTTGAACGATTTCTTATGTGGATTACCCCAAAACCCCGGACGGGAGGATTTGATCTATGAGTACTACGTGAAAGCGAAGGAGACGCCAGGGTTTAGACCTGAGAAATCAACATTGAGGCATCTAATCAGGTACTTAGTGCGATTGAAGAAGTGGAGTTTGATTTTGTTAGTTTCTAGAGATTTTGTGGATTATGATGTTTGCCCTGATAGAGATACTTGTTCTAGATTGGTTAGTAGTTGCGTTAGAGGTAGGAAATTTAAAGTTGTTAGGGCTCTGCTTGAGGTTTTTGAACGGGATAGGGATGTTGCTACGGCTGCATTTGAAGCTGCCATGAGAGGCTACAATAAGCTTCATATGTACAGAAGTACTATCCTGGTTTTCCAGCGCTTGAAATCTGCGAAAATTGAAGCAGATTCTGGATGTTATTGCAGGGTCATGGAAGCCTACCTTAAACTTGGGGATTCTGAGAGAATTATGGAACTGTTTAATGAAATTGAGAGTAGGATTTCTGATTTTACACCCTTTTCCACCAAAATTTATGGAATACTTTGTAAGTCTTTAGCGAAATCCGGGCGAGTTTTCGAGTCGCTTGAGTTCTTTAGAGATATGAGGAAGAAAGGGATTGTAGAAGATTACACCATTTACTCTGCTTTGATATGCACTTTTGCAAGCATCCAAGAAGTTAAATTAGCTGAAGATCTTTACAATGAAGCAAAAACCAAGAAATTGTTGAGAGACCCTGCAACGTTTCAAAAGCTTATATTGATGTATATTCAACAAGGGTCATTAGAGAAAGCACTTGAGATTGTTGAAGTCATGAAGGACTTCAAAATTGGTGCATCAGATTGCATTTTCTGTGCAATTGTCAATGGCTACGCCACGAGAAGGGGCTATAATGCTGCGGTTAACATTTACGAAAAGCTGATTAGAGATGAATGTGAGCCGGGACAAGTGACGTACGCCTTGGCGATCAACGCTTACTGCCGTGTCGGGCTGTACTCAAAAGCGGAGGACGTGTTTGTAGAAATGGAGGAGAAGGGGTTTGATAAATGTGTAGTTGCTTACTCTAGCTTGATATCAATGTATGGGAAGACAGGGAGATTGAAGGATGCAATGAGGCTGTTAGCAAAGATGAAAGAAAGAGGGTGTCAGCCAAATGTTTGGATTTACAATATCCTGATGGAGATGCATGGGAAGGCTAAGAATTTGAAGCAAGTTGAGAAGCTATGGAAGGAAATGAAGCGCAAAAAGATAGCACCTGATAAGGTTAGCTATACAAGTATCATAAATGCTTATGTGAAGGCAGCAGAATTCGAGACATGCGAACGATATTACCGTGAGTTTCGGATGAACGGGGGAACCATCGACAAGGCGATAGCAGGAATCATGGTTGGCGTGTTCTCGAAGACGAGTCGGGTTGATGAACTAGTGAAGCTTCTTAGGGACATGAACTTAGAAGGAATACGCTTGGATGAGAGGCTGTATAGGTCAGCCTTGAATGCTTTGATGGATGCTGGGTTGCAAGTGCAAGCAAAATGGTTGCAAGATCATTATGCTGGAAAGTCGGGCTTTGTTTAAACTGTTTCATACTGATTATTGAAAAATTTTCACCATGCCCAATAGATTTACTATTTGTATGTAGTTTTTATTTTCTTTGTAAATTCTCAATTCCGTTCATATAGTTGGTGGGTGTAACGATCCAATTTTTCTATTAAAAACAAGGTCACCACGGTATGCATGATATAACTAATACGTAGAAAATATTCATTCAAAATATTTTATAAAAAGGTGCCATGGACTTATCATTCTTAATAAATACCTTAAAATAAAGTTGTCATGAAATAAAAGAGGCGAAGTATAAACGATGTAAAATTGAATAAAATAAAACAAGCTCGAATCTAACCTAAGGACTACCAACTAGACATGAATGCAACTATCCCTACTTTGATTCTATGACCTTTATCTCGACGCCGTCATTTGAGGCGTTACTTTTACTTGAAAAATAAAAATTGTACATGACTTAGTATTTTTTAAGAAATATTAAGTAACTCAATTGTTAGGGTTGAGAAATGCAAACACGTAATATGGTGGGGCACATTCTTTTAAAAACATTATAGCATGGCCTTGGGTTCCGCTTTCTCGTTCGGGTAGGGTTAGATTTGTAGTACTTCCCTAATGGGCGACTAAACGCCACAGAGGGAAAGAGCCCACATAACATAATGGGGGAATATAAATGTCATAAAATATGCGCTTGTACTAATCATAATGAGGAAGAATCTCGATGTATATGACACAAAATGCATGAGGTTCCCGTGGCTTAAATCACGACATAAGTTTATAATACAAGTCAAACCTCCATTCATATATAACATAATAAGTCTATGAATCATGTAAACGTACTTCCTGTCAAGTCTTTCATACATAAAGTAGCTTACCTGACGTGATGTATGAAGGTTTATGCACCATAGGTTATCAATATCATAAACATGATTCTACACCATTGCATAGCCACATTATAACATAACTTATAAACATGACATAACACGATATAACATAACGTGACATAATATAGCATAACCTAGTACGATATAGCATAGCACAACACAACAATCATAATCATGCCACGTGCATAGGCCACAAAGCACACATCATCATACATCGTCCAACCAAGCCAAATGTAGAGTCACTTATTTGGTTGCCCAAGGTCGAAGTCACTAAATATTGTTACAGCTGGTTGGACTCTGTTCCTCACCGTCGTTTCAACTTATGTATAATCACGACATCGAATTAGAATACGTTAAATGGCTTAATTCGTCTAAAGATCTCAATTAATCATCAAATTCAGTCTCAAATACCTCAAATTCACCGGTGGTGAACTCACCTTGAATGTTTATGAAACTGTCAAAAAAAAAAGGCTTCGGAAGAGTCCAAAATGGCGGAAAAGACTCCCAAGTCATAAAAAATGCCAATCCGAGCCGAATACGCCATTTGAACGGCGTTGAAAGCCGCCAAGCGCAGGATTTCAAGCCGACACGCGAGCCACAGTCAAGGAATAGCTCGAGCACGCGCACCGCACGTGAGGTGGCTGTGAAGGGCACGGGTCGCAGCTCGGGTCAGCGTGCGAGTCATGAGTCGCGTGCGTTCTGGGCTGATGGCATGTAATGGGCTGAGCCGAGTGTTAATTTTGAGCCATAACTGCCAATGGGAGTTGGGCTGAGTCTGGATTCGAGGTGAACTGACGGATTTCTTTCTTGACCCGATTTATTGATTACAGTGATTGACTACCACATGTGAATGTAGAGGAATTTCTTCTCTCCTAATCCCATAAATTTTTATGTCTCTTTATTTAATTTATGTTTATGAATGTGTGAGCGCGATCAAACTTACTTCCGCTTCCACTACAACAATGAGATAGCAGAATATTTTGGTGGTGGAATTATAAGGTACAACAGTTCTAACACAAACAACACTACTAATATTATTGCATAAACCAAAATTCGAAACCACAATGTAATTAAAAGAGCTAACACAACATTAAAGCAAAAACACAAGAAAAGGAAGGAAGGAAAGAGGGGCCAAAGACAAAGGCCACTTTATTGATACAAGTTGGAAAGTAAATAGAGAATTAGTTGAAGATGTGTGGATAGTGTTGATGAATGAGATATCAAACACAGTGCTTTGAGCATATACAACGAAGGCGGAAGCCCTGGCAAGCGCCATCATTAAAGCCCTCTGCCCTGCAAATATGGCCACAGTTGTTGGTACTAAAGCATAGCCCCTTGAAGTTGCGGCTCGGAGATTCGCAAAGCCTGGCCTCTGCAACCATTGGCGCCATACCTGTCCCACACATCATGCACCAAAGACCACTGGTTAACAGTCCAATGAACAAACAAAACATAAAAAATTGAAGGAAACAAACAAACAAACAAACAAACCAGTGCCAAAAATGAGGAGGAGCAGGCAAATTGCAGCTGAAAGGAACTTCATATTTAGAGAGGAATTTGTGTGGTTTGAGTTTAATGCATGGAGGGTTTAGGGTTTATATAAGAATTAAGAAAGAAGTTATTGGTGATGGAAGATGCACCCAATTATCTTTTTGCCTCCACCAAAATTTTAGTGTTTTTGGGTAGCAACTAGTTTTAGACTAAATCATTTTATATTTGAGCCATATGATTCATTAAAGTTTATACCCAAATCTTTGGTCCTTACACAAACCCACCTTGTTTAAATTACCCCTTGGTTTCACTTGATTAATTTGTGTACACATACGAGTTTTTTCTCGTTTTTTTTTTAACTATAGAAAAGATTTCGGGTTCAATTATGCTTTCAAGTTTGAAAAGTTTTATTTTTATTTAATGTAAGATCCCATATCGATTGGGGAGGGACAAAACATTGTTTGTAAGAGTGTGGAAATCTAACTCTACTCAGAAGCATTTTAAAAACTTGGAGGGAAAATCCAAAACAGAAAGCTTAAAAAAGATCATAAATCTAAATAATGGGTTTAAAATTTTTACGATCTAAACAACTTTTATTAAATAATGAACTCAACCCAATCGAACAATAAACTTTTGGATTGGGTTGTTTTGAACGGTCCACTAACATTTACAACTCAATTTCAATATATATTTTAAAAAATTATATTTATCAAATTAATTGATTGGTTGAATTAATTGAATTTTTTAAGATAATAAAAGATGTCAGTCAAAGTCAGTCAAAGGTGGACATAGACCCTTTAAGATCGCCAGCAGAATTTAGACAACCATCTATTTAAGAATTAATGAAAAATGTAGCTTTAATCCAAAGGGCCAATGGCTACTTGCCACGTGGACTCATCTTTACAAAACAAAACAAGACTTTGAAAATTAGGTCAATCAACATAATATTGAACACACCACTCTCTTATTTGCCGAACAACGCCAAAATTTAAATTAGCAATTAAAATATTAATACTTTCATAGAGAAGTTCTGATTATGACAAATATGAATTCAAATCTTTTGATGTATCTAACCTGTTTGTGATTAGGATATGAATGATTTGTGGAGTGAATTGGTTCATCGTTACTCAAAACCGACTCTTGTAGCATACAATTGTAGCACGTGTGTGGCCCAACTCGCACATATAGATAGGGCAAGCAAAGCGCAATGGGTATGGATGTCTGAGTGGTGGTGTTGAAGACAAAACCTAAATGACTCGAACCTGTAAACAGAAGAAAGATTGATCATTCTATCTAGTACAATGAGAACTAGAAAAATCTTTAGAAGAATACGTGATTAAGGGTTTATGTTGATATGTTTTCAACTAGATTGACGACTATCATGGATAGGAACTTGATTATTATAATAAACTTGAATTAGAGCTTTGACGAAATACGTTATATAAGTCAAATATATAAATTTAGGGCAATCTTTTATGGAAGTTTGATATTCTCTTTGCATATGAGAAGAATCGAATTGAGTAGTATTGTATCGTATAAGTTTGAAATGTATTTGTACTAAAAGAAAGTTTGAAACACCCGTGCTAAAAACAATTGGATGATCTCAAAAATTGGATAAGTCCCCGCAGTTTTTGGTTGAATTATCAACTTATTTAAGTTGAGTTAGATTAAAAATCGAATTAGGCTGAAATAAATTTTGATCTTGGTGTCTTTTGCACATTTTTCGTGAAGGAATATGGAGTCAAATTGCAACGGAAGTAAGAGGTTCGAGAAGTCTCAAAGTTCGGTAAGAATGCATGAACTTGAATGTTTTAGTGCGATTATATTAGTTAGTGGGTCAAAAAATTATATATAAAAAAAATATAATTGTGTAGAGGGATGAAAACTCCACAACTTTGATGAAGGAATTAATTGGATCGGATCGGAGTTGTGTGCATGAAGATATGAAATTCTAAAATAGGCTGAAATAAGTTTTATCCTTGAATCTTGAAATTTGTTAAGGAGAACGATTGCCCGAGGGACGCGTCGACAAACAGCAAGGGGATACGTGTCCGGGTCGCAAAGGACACAAGTCACGAGAAAAGACGTGCAACGTATCGCGACACCAGCGGCTGCCAAGACCCGAAGCGAACCACACTTGCGCCCAACGATTTGAATCGAATCGCTAACATCATGTGTTGGCAAAGGGATGATGGATCCACACGTTGCGGAATTCAAACACAACACACTTAAGAGTGGACAACGGACTACACACGTAATCAATTGAGGATATATTATTATGTGTAGAACAAACCCGCGTGAGAGTAGACGTGGGACTACAAGTAGTATATTGAGGAGCTACTATTTTGTCTAGAGGAAACCCACCCTGAGAGGAGACGAGATAAGGGCCTACAAAATAGATTAGATCATGATAGACATCACCTTGGTGTGAGATAACATTTAGGGGATACATGAACTAGACACAAACTTCTTAGAACCCTATGACAAGCTCGTGGAAACATATTAGAGGCTATAGATAGAATAATACCTATTTTGTAACCCTATTGTTATGAATTTTGGTAATGGTACTACTTGATTATAAATTCAGCTCAATTTCACCTTATTTTATATTGTTTATTTTATTTTATTTTTATTTTTATTTTCATCCTTTCGTTACTGTCAGATTTCTTGAACCCTTAAAAATCGGGTTGAGACACCTACTAACTTCTTTTCATGAAACTGTTATGAATTATCAATATATCAATTAGGGTTCAATTTCATACATAGTAAATAAAAACGTTCATAAGCCATTCCTAATGGTGACAAAACGTTCATTGCAAAGCCAAAGAACATGTTGTAGCCTACGTTGCAAGCTACGGTAAAGGTGAGACGTCTTTCTAACATAAACAACACCACGTTTATGCATATTATTGCATAAACCAAAATTCCAAAACACAACGTAATTAAAGAGCTTACACAACATTAAAGCGAAAACACAAGAAAGGAAGGAAGGAGGGAGGGGCCAAATAGGATGGCCACTTTATTCATACAAGTAGGAAAGTAAATAGACAATTAGTTGAAGATGTTGTTGGTGGAGGAAATATCAAACACACTGCTTTGAGCATAAGCAGCGAAGGCGGAAGCCCCTGCAAGCGCCATCGTTAAAGCCCTCTCCCTTGCACACATGGCCACAGTTGTTGTTACTAAAGCATAGCCCCCTGAAGTTGCCGCTCGGAGTTTCGCACAGCCTGGCCTCTGCAACCATTGGCGCCATGCCTGTCCCACACATCATGCACCAAAAACCACTGGTAAAGAGTTCATGAACAAATAAAACATAAAAAATTGAAGGAAACAAACAAACCAGTGCCAAAAACGAGGAGGAGCAGGCAAATTGCAGCTGAAAGGAACTTCATAGTTTGAGAGCTGAGTGAGAGAGAGATAGATAGAGGAATTTGTGTGTTGTGAGTTTAATGCAAGGAGGGTAGGGTTTATATAAGGGTTGAGAGAACAAATTAAGGCTGAGAAGAAGAATCAACAAAGGCCATATACAGCACTTGGTTTGATTATTCAACCTCTTTTTGCCTCCACCACAACTAGTTTTAGACTGAATCGTCTATTATTTGAGCCATATGAATGATTAAAGTTATACCCAAATCTTGTTCTTACACAAACCCCCTTGTTTCACTTAATTCACTCAATTTATCTTTACATTTATTGTTATTTTCCTTTTAGAAGAAGGGTGTAATATTATAACAATTTATGTGTAATGATTAGAAGAAGTGTGTAATATTTAAACCATTATCTCTAAGATTAAGGCCCTTCTTAATGAAATAGCAAATTAGTAAGATATCTAATATTTTATATGGTGAGATCTTACATCAGTTGAAAAGAGAAACTATTGTCAACGAGGATTTTGGGTTTTGAAGGTGTGGATTGTGGATCCCACATCGATTAGAGAGAGAAACTAGTGAGGATGCTGGACACCGAAGATGGTAGATTATGAGATTCCATATCAATTCGGGAGGAGAACGAAACATCATTAGTGTGTGAAAACCTCTAACTAGTACAAGCATTTTAAAAGCTTTGAAAGAAAACTTGAAACAAAAAACTCTGTTTATAGGCTGTTACCTTACAATTATGTTGACTCTAAAATGTTAGTGTTGTCCGTTAATTTTAATAATTATATATCAAAATTCAAAGTCTAAATTTGTAATTTTTTAAATTGTATGGACTAAATAGTCCCAAAAAGTTGAATTTGATATAAAATAGGATGTTCATGAATTTGATTGGAAAAAATAGGTGGCACTAAGTAAAAAAAATTTTAGGACGGGTCTCTTTGTATGCGTTGTTTGAAAAGGGAAGGCTCAATGATTATTGGTTGGTCGGAACCAGAAGTTAAAATTTTGGTAAATAGGGATCCCGTAAAAACTTCTTATGAGGAATGCGTCAGACTGGGTCATTTCTCGAGAACAATAACTAAGGGTCTAATACTACCAATATTTAATAAAGTATTGGAACATTTTTTAGCCCCGAGTTTTAAATATTTTTAACCTAAACCATTTCTATTAAATAATGTACCAAACTCAATTTGTTTGGATCCTTTATTGAAATTTATGCAACTAAAAATGTTAGTGGATATTATTGAATAAAGATTTACCATTCAATTTCAATATATATACAATGGTATTATAAGAAAAAAAAAATGTATACTTTAAATTAACAATAATCGAATTGGTTCAATTCAATTCAATTTAGTTTCGGGAAACCACGAAATCATAAAGTTTTCATATTTATTCAAACCCGAACAAATCCTTTGAATCCGATTGAAATTTAGACAACCATCCATATCTCAATTAATTCTTAATTGTGGAATTTGTGTATCGAAAAGGGCCCGTGGCTACTTGCGACGTCGACTCAAAACAAACCGGACTTCAAAAATTAGGTCTATCAACACAATATTGAGTACATCAATCTCTTATTCGCCCAACAAGACAAAATTTGAATAGCAATAAGATTTTTCTTTTTTTAATAAATTATCTAACATATTTGTGTAAGGAGATGAGTGATTGGTGGATTGTGAAAATACAAGCTCGGACTTTTCAAATTACGAAGTATTTTGACCATTCTCGAGCATTGTTTAGAGGGTGTCTCACGTTCGCTAATCAAAGGAAGGATCATGAGTTTACAAATAAGAAATACTATTTTCATTGACATGAGATCTCTTGAAAAAAACCAAAACAAAGTGAACAAATAAACAAGTAGACTTTTATTAAAAAATTGAATAAATAATTCGAACAAATCCAATTTACATAACAACCCAAATACATCATTGGAAGATATTGTCCGCTTTGGCCCGTTATGTATAGCCATAAGCCTCACGATTTTAAATCGACTCTTATAAATATGTTTCGTTCCTCTTTTTAACTTATGTGAGATCTCACAACTCAACTCCTGAATGTATAACGGAAGTTTTGAGATATTTATATCTATTATATCTTAGTCGAAGAGTAGAAATTATGAACAAAACCAAATAAAAAGATGTAATTATGATATTGAAAACTTGATAATGACAATTTATAACAAATATTTTGAAGTCGACCAAAAATGAATAGTCTCCCGCAGCCACCTTTGCTTTACGTGATATATATTCTCTCGTGTAATACCCATCAATAGGAATACTGATATAATAATAGTTTGTGTAAATTTTTTATTTTTTGAAGAAGACTTCATTTGACTAGTACACGGGAAAATCATTTACATTGCTTTATTTAATTATGTCTCGAGTTCCAACTAGAATTAATTTTTTCAATTTTTTCATTTAATAATCAAACTTTCACGATTTTATTGAACGTCTTATAAGTTGAATTTAGAAATAAAGTAGAAGAGAAAAATACTCGAAAAGTATAAAAGAATGTTGATGAACCCTCGTACTATTTTTGGGGTCTGAGGAGATCCTTCATAGATCACACGTCAAGGAAATTAGGGTTTGAAAGGAAAAAGGAAGAAGAAGAAGAAGAAAACGCTCCGATTCGACCAGACGAGGCTGAATTTGATCGAGAGTTCTTCACAAGAAACTCTCATTTGGTAAAGGAGCTTAATTCTGGGTACTAGATAAGTTCGATTTTGTCAAGAACAGAGAAAGAACGAGGGTATCTATAAGAAAAATATCATTGGGTAGAGGGATGAAAACTCCACAATTTTGGTGAATGAATTAATTCGATTGACTTGTGTGCTTGAAGATATGAAATTCCAAAGAAATTAGGTTGAAACGAATTTTTTCGTCGAATCTCGAAACTTGTGCAAGAGGACAATTGTCAAAGGGACACTCATCGGCAGACGACATGGGGATACTGTCAGCGCCACAGAAGGACATGTGTCATAGGAAGAGATACGAAACGTGTCGGGACATCAACGGTTGCTAAGACCCGATCTGCTTGCCCGACTTGCAAATCATGTTTGCACTCGATGACCTAAACTGAACCGCTTGCACCACATGGTTGCAGAGGGACAAAGGATCCTAGCACTGCGGGATTTGAACGTAAGCTAACGAAGGTGATCAATCTTATAGCAATACATGGCAGCACAAAGGCGCAACTTGCCTCCCTCGGAGGTGCGTTGTAACGGCCCAGATCCACCGCTAGCAGATATTGTTCTCTTTGGGTTTTTCCTTTCGGGCTTCCCTTCAAGGCTTTAAAACGCGTCTGCTGCCTCTCCAGAATCGAACCCTAATTCTCCATCACCCGTCACCACCATAGTAGGCCACTATCCTACCATCGATTGGAGGAAGGAAAGAATGCCAGCGAGAACGTTGGGCTCCAAAGGGGGGTGGATTGTGATGTCCCACATTGGTTGGGAAGGAGAACAAACCACCATTTATAAGAGTGTGGAAACCTTCCCTTAGTAGATGCGTTTTAAAGCCTTGAGAGGAAGCCCAAAGAGGACAATATCTGCTAGCGATGGATCTGGGTCGTTACATGCATGACAATCGCACGTGGGGCCATGCATGGAATTTACTCTTCGCGCGTGTGAGTGGCGGGTGCAAGGTCATTTTTGGACCGTTCAACCTCTCTTTGATTGTTTTTCGTCTCAATTTTGATACTGACCAAAATTTAGCATGATTCAAAATCAACCATTGAGATTTCATGATTCAATTCATCCCGGTAAGTAGCCACATAGATACTATGCAAGTAATACTAGGAATCTCTAGGACATGCTAGCATGCAAACTTATCTTACCATAGGTGATTAGAATATGCATGTTTAGGACTTAACTGAGCAAATTTGAATAGATGTGCATGTATGTAAAGAAAAAAATATGAAAATGCCCTTGTATGAGAATAGATGATGCATGTCTATTAAATGTTTTCTATTGCACTGGAATGGAGGATGGAAAATTTGTGATATGCACTCCAAATGCTAGATGAACATTATCTCTTTGTTGAGCATGTTTGAGTTGTATGATTAAATTGTATGCTAGATTCATGCGAATGTACGTATGAATTATCTATGCTTACTTGGTCGATAGGAATATTCCTTTATTAAACATGCACGACCATTTAGATTTTGATTTCTGTGTACTAGGTGATCGATAGAATATCTCCCAAGTAAAGGATACATATATCAGAGTGAGTTGGGCGGTAGAACCAAAGTAGTTATGCAACGTCTTAGCTCAATCCGTTTCTAGTACGCTAAGCAGACTGGGATCGTAAGCGGCGATCAAAGACCTAAGTGCAACTCAAGATTTGGCTTTAGCCATGAGGAGCTAGTCCTGAGCAACCTAGAAATGCTTGTTATGACCTAATCCATCTAGACGCCCTAGAACCTGATATATCTCTATGGCAACCAGGGTGAACTACGAGAACACATAAGAATAATGGTAACATGAAACAAAACTATTCGAGGAGTCACTATGTGTGTAAGATATAACCTGTCCAAATAAGGACTGATGAACTATATAAACAGCGACCTGAAGACTCATTACTGCGTGTAGAGTATAACCAGCCTTGATAGGACGAGGGACTATGCGAGTAGACAATATAAGGAGCTACCACTGTATGTATGATAACTTGCCTTAAGAAAGGACGAGAGATTATATAAGTGGGTGGCATGGGAAATTGCTACTGTATGTACGATAACCCACCTTAAGAGGTGTACAAGGGACTACATAAATAGATAGCATGAGGAATCACTATTGTGTGCATGATAACCCGCCTTAAGAGGTGTACAAGGGGATATACAAGTAGTTGATTGACGATATATTATTGTGTGTAGAACAATCCTGCTTGAGAGTGGACAACAAGTAGTATATAGAGAAGTTATTATTGTGTTGGGAAGAAACTCACTCTAAGATGAGACGAGGGCCTATAAAATAGATTAGCTCATGATAGACACCACAGTGGTGTGATCTAACATTCAGGGAGTTGGGTTTTATGTCCTAAAACTCATAGCAAACAAAAACATATTCTATTTTCAATAAAGTTATTATTGTTGTTGATTCAGTAAAGATTGTTATTGAATAAAGTGAATTTTACGATCATTAATCTAAATCCAATAAACTAAGAACACTCTGACTATGTATGATTACTTGAACTATATGTAGAGACATAAGAGTTGATCAAGTTCAAGTATATAGTCAAAATGATCTATAGTATAAGGATAAGGTTGAGTACCTTATTATGGGCACACCATGGATGCGGCCCACTTTTGTATATAATATAAACAATGTGATCACTAAATTGTACATGTGAAGACATGTGAGTGGGGGCGTCCTATGCAATGAGTATTGCATAAGATCGGACCATGAAGAAAATCACTCTCACTTTATAATGTCGTTTACTGTTGAGAGGTAGTTCTCTTTTAAGTACTGACTCCAGGTCTTAAACAAGGGGCCCCACCATCTCATTGGCCTGAGAGGGATTCGGTTTACTGATTGGACCACAAATCAATTGTTCATTAGAGGATCAGTGAGACATAAGAAACAAGAAGTAACTTCAGGGGTAAAACGGTAAATTGACCCAACTCTAGGTACAAACAACCTGTGAGGGATCAACTTACTAATCATGGTAATATCAAATGGACAGAAATATATCTACAGTGAGGGGAGTGCAACTACTAGGCTATAGTGGAATGTCCTAGTAGTTAACGAATGTTGGTTAACAAGATTAATGAGTTTAACCGATTAATCTTGGATCGTTGGAGCCCATGATCTATAGGTCCATTAGGTCCCTCTGCTAGCTCATATCAGACTGAACCATAGAACAGTGTGACGAGTGAGTTTGAAGTGTTCGAATTCAAGTTAGGGAGAATGCGCTACATATATACGATATATTTAACCGCATTTTTGTTTTATTTACGAATTAAACAAAAAGAGAGAATTTGAGATATTTAAATAAGATTTAAATATCTTAATCTATCGGAATTAATTGGGATTGACATTTGAATTAATATTAAATATTAATTAAATAGTTTAATTAATCATTTAATATTACTTTAATTTGAAATTAATAATTCAAATGGATTGTTGAAGGAAAATGAAGAAAGTCAAAATGTTGACTTCATTTAATGAAAAAATCCATGTTAGTGGAATTTTGAGGTGTCAAAATTTGGTTTAACCAAACTTGCATGCTTGTCAAATAAACCCCACAAATTTGAGTGGAATTTTGAGTGTCAAAATTTGGTGATCTCAAATTTGCATGAACATGTAAACATGACTCTATAAATAGAGTGATCATAATACATGAAAGGTCTTCTTGTTGGGGAAAAACCTTGAAAAAAACCTCTCACAAACACTCTGTTCATATATACAAAATCCCTCTCAAGTTTAGTCACTCACCGGATTCCACAATCCCGTTCTAAGGCCGAAGGATAGTGGAGAAGACACTAGTGATGGTTCGAAACCGATTCGTGAGAAAAAAGAAATTTGAACTACAAAAGGTTAGTATTCAAAATCATTAAGTTTTAATACTTATGAACATGCTAGTTATTTACTATAATTGATGTTCTAAAAGTGCCTAAGATTCAAATTGTTTCCGCATGTGTTATATTAACACCATCACAGGGGATACCTGAACTAGCCCCAAACTTCTTAAAACCCTATGACAAGCCCATGGAAACATATAAAAGCGTATAGCTCTGATACCAACTATAATGACTCTATTTTTTTTTTTTTTCTTTTAAAACAAAGTTGCTATCACATCCATGATAGACTGGAACGTTTACTAAACCACTGTAATAAACTTAAACGTTTGTAAAAAGGAGTGAGTAGTACAAAAGTTTGGAGAGATTCCTTATAAGTGAGATCGTAGGGATGATATTTGATTGTTATAATTTTTCGTTTTTAAACGTAATTTCTTGTGTGTCATGTTTTTTACAATAGAAGTGAGACATTTTTATGTTAAAAGGAAACCAAAATTCCAAAACACAATGTAATTAAAGGGCTTACACAACATTAAAGCAAAAATACATGAAAGAAAGGAAGGAGGAGCCAAAGAAGATGCCCACTTTATTCATACAAGTTTTTAAGTGTCTACATTTAGAAATAGACAAATAGTTGATGAAGAAATATCAAACACAGTGCTTTGAGCATATGCACCGAAGGCGGAAGCCCTTGCAAGCGCCATCGTTAAACCCCTCTCCCTTGCACACATGGCCACAGTTGTTGCTACTAAAGCATAGCCCCTTGAAATTGTGGCTCGGAGTTTCGCAAAGCCTGGCCTCTGCAACCATTGGCGCCATGCCTGTCCCACACATCATGCACCAAAAACCACTGGTAAAGAGTCCAATGAACAAACAAGACATAAAAAATTGAAGGAAACAAGCAAAAACAAACAAACCAGTGCCAAAAATGAGGAGGAGCAGGCAAATTGCAGCTGAAAGGAACTTCATATTTAGAGAGGAATTTGTGTGGTTTGAGTTTAATGCATGGAGGGTTAGGGTTTATATAAAAATTAAGAGAGCCCATCATCTTTGACTTACATCATCCAAAAGGCAAATCAAGGCTGAGAAGAAGATTAAACAAAATTCTACTCTTCACTTAATTTGATAGCAACTAGTTTTAGACTGACTCATCATACATTTCAACCATATGAATCATTAAAGTTAATTACCGCTAGTTTGTTTCAACCTCTCTAATATATATATATATATATTTAGAATTTGTATTAAACATATGTGTTTTTATTTTGTTAAATTATACAAAATAATTTTATTATAAGGTTTTTAAATTGATTTTTTATATTTAACTTAGTGTTCTATCATATTTTAAAATTAATTGGTTTATTTAATAGAATTGTATTTAAATTAAAAATCAATTATTGATAATGGTGGAGTATTTTAAAAAAAACTAAGGCAATTCCTTTTGAAATTGAATTTGTGTATAAAAAAGGAAAGGAAAAATCTAGGTTTAAATAAAACAAAACAAAACAAGACTTTGAAAATTATGAACATTGATTGATGAGTGATCCACGTAATGTTAAATGAATATGGTATATGCTTGGTTCGCCCAACAATGACAAAGTTTAAATAGCAATGACAATTTCATACAATTTTCGTCCTTCTTTAACAAGATTGAAATTGATAGTGAGCGACTCGATTCGACTGACCCAACTCATGAACAATGAGATTGAATCTAAAAAAATTTACAACTTGACTCGACTCAACTTGTGTGAGCTCTAATGCAAAGAGATTAGTGTGATAGAAGTGAAGTCGAAAGCAAAAATCGAAATAGAGATTACCCTATTCATCTTTTTTTTTACTTTGCTCTTCGTGTATTGGATACTTTATTTTGTAATGTAAGGGAATTATGAATGGAAGTCATTTAATGTGTTTATTTAGTTAAGAATTAGTATTTTATTCAGACGTGTAGCGTTCCTATTCTTTTTACTAAGAATAAGATCGTCACTGCATACATGACATGTGTATTATGTACGAAAAAAATCATAAAAATATTTCCTAACGATGTCATAGACTTATTGGTTCATAATAAATTCATTAAAACAATATGGTGCAAAATAAATAACATGAATTTAAATAAAATAAAGAAAATAAAACATGGTCCTAATTTAACCCAATGGCTACCAAAAACACAACATAAATGCCATCACCCTAGCTTCGGTCTCATGGTCGTCACTGCAATATCGTTATCCGTATAGGGGTGTCTTATCTTTACTTAAAAAATAAGAGGAGTATGTGGCAGACGGTAACTACACTATTGGGGTCGAGAAATGCATGCACAAGCAATCATGGTGGGACTTATCCTTTCATAAAAACATTTCATGGTTTTCAACTTTGCTTTTCAGTTTGGACAAAAATTGGATGTGTAGTCCTTCTAAACACAAGACCCACATACGCACACATGAACCGCACACCCACGCTATTGGAGCCACAATGAAAAAGGGGTCAACATAAAATCATGACGTACATAGAGATCATAATGTACGCATTCATACTCTATAATGAGAGAAGTATTCATAGTGCAAGAGAGCCAAGTTTCAATATAAGTTTCGGAATGCAACTTGGGTGTCAATCGGGTACTAAATGGCAACCATATTGAAGGGATAAAATTTTAATCCAAAAGACCAATGGCTGCTTGTGACGGTGGCCCCTCCTTAATAAAACAAAATAAGACTTTGAAAATTAGGTATTGACTTGACGAGTGACAAGTGATCCACACAATATTGAATACATCAATCTCTTATTTGCCCAACAACGACAATATTTAAATACCAATTAAAATACTATTAATTCGAATATCTTTCTTTTATTTGGTTATTTCTGTCATTCATATTATTGGAGTCTATGTTCATAAATTCATTTAAAATTTAATAATGACGTCAAAAATAATATGGCTGAAAATAAGAAAAAAAATGACATCTTTATTTATCCTAACATAAAAACGACTTAAATGTGAAAATCTAAGTATTGCGACTTGACTCTATAGCCACCTCAGCAGACGTCATCATCCATATATGGAGACCTTGTTTTTATCTATAAAACAAAATGTAGAATTATATTTGAGTGTTAAAAAATGGTCGGTAAGTGATCTCATTGTTGGAGACAGTAAATGCGATAATAAACCATCATGGTACATCGTAAAATCTACTTTTTGTGATTTTCCTTGAATTTTTTTTTTTTTTTTTTCGGAATAGGATTAGGTGCATAATACTTATCACACGTTTATGCATGAACCCACTAGACGAGCTTGTATACATATCCTCTAGGTCTGACTATGGACTATTGCATGCTCATGCTACAGGAAAACTAATGGAAGAAAATGAACACATATCATATCATGGTGTATGCATCTGTATAAAATATATTGGAGAAGTAACACATGCTTGTAATATACAACATACACGAAATCCCACATTTTCAAATCATGGTACATGGTTATAAGCGCATTATACTTCTATAATGTTCATTCTATTTTATCATACATAACTCATCAATTGTTTCATAGGACATAATGTAAGCATGGTCTCATAACATATATAAATTGACATATTAGAAGTACGTGCATCATTAGAAAGCTCATAAGCATCACATCATTACAAGTAATAACACATAGATAAGTCATAGAGCACGTGTTAATCATACAACATACCATCATCCAAGAGTAACATCACTTATTTATATATTGAGTTTCTTTTTGGTAGGTCGGTTTTTTTCTTCCTGTATTGAAGTTTTTTTATGTAAATTCTTGTGGTTCTTGTTTCACGATTATTGTATGTTTATTCCTACGATAGAAGTGAGAGGTCTTTCAAACATAAACGACACCACCAGGTATACGCATATTATTGCATAAACCAAAATTCCAAAACACAATGCAACATTAAAGCGAAAACACAAGAAAGGAAGGAAGGAGGGGCCAAAGAGGATGGCCACTTTATTCATACAAGTAGGAAAGTAAATAGACAATTAGTTGAAGATGTTGTTGGTGGAGGAAATATCAAACACACTGCTTTGAGCATAAGCAGCGAAGGCGGAAGCCCCTGCAAGCGCCATCGTTAAACCCCTCTCCCTTGCACACATGGCCACAGTTGTTGTTACTAAAGCATAGCCCCCTGAAGTTGGCGCTCGGAGTTTCGCAAAGCCTGGCCTCTGCAACCATTGGCGCCATGCCTGTCCCACACATCATGCACCAAAAACCACTGGTAAAGAGTTCATGAACAAATAAAACATAAAAAATTGAAGGAAACAAACAAACCAGTGCCAAAAACGAGGAGGAGCAGGCAAATTGCAGCTGAAAGGAACTTCATAGTTTGAGAGCTGAGTGAGAGAGAGAGAGAGAGAGAGAGAGAGAGAGAGAGAGAGAGAGATAGAGGAATTTGTGTGTTGTGAGTTTAATGCAAGGAGGGTAGGGTTTATATAAGGGTTGAGAGAGCCGAAGGAAGGGTTTTGCGTGCTACGTATATCTTTAATAGAAACGATTCATTCTTATCTCTAATGTATGTGGGATTTCACAATCCACCTTCTTGGATTCCCAACGTTCTCGCTACAACCGATTTGGGATCTCACAATCCACCTTTTTGGGTGCCCAACATCCTCGCTAGCACGGTGCCTAGCTTTAATATCATTTGTAACTGTTAAAGTCCACTTGATATGAACCAAAAAACATTAATCATACAATACACTATTCTTTATCTTATCACCACTGTTAACATATATTGTCCGCTTTAACCCGTTACGTATTGTTATCAACCTAACGATTTTAAAATGTGTATATTAGGGAGAGATTTTTACCCTCCGAATATTTTGTTCTCCTATCCAGCAAATAGTGTGAGATTAGTGATGGAAGATGCTGCCCATTATCTTTGACTTAGATGATCCAAAAGAAGATTCAGCCAAACTCTAGTGTTTAATTAATTGGATAGCAACTAGTTTTAGACTAGATCATCATATATTTGAACCATATTAGTTATATCCTAATCTTAGTTTATATATATATATAGATCACTTAAATGAATGTCTCAAACATACGAGTTTTTTCTTTCTTTTTTCTTAAATTATATAAAAGTTCTCTTGTTCATATATATATATATATATATATAATTATATGTGTCTAAGATTTAGAATTCAGATCTGACACATTAGTTACTTTCTTTCAACAAGATTTGTCCTCATTCACATGTATTCTAAGAAAATTTTCAAGAAATTACGTAACATAAAATCGCTCCAGACAAAACATACTTCATTTTGGTGTTTTTATGATCAGGCCAACGAAAAGAAAAGTACACCTTATTAGTATAAGTAATAACTTTCAATTTTTTTAAAATTTTCTTAGTCATCTTATTCTCAGATCACTCTTGTGAATGAACTCAATTCGTGTCATTACTGTTACAATAAATAAATAAATATACCTAATTTTAAAAAATAAATAATTATTGGAGAGACTTAAAAAGATAAAATTAAATCGAGTTGAACCGGATTAAATGTTAGGCAAAGGTGGCAGAATTTTGAGGACGGTCGAGTATTTTATAAAACCTGGCAATTCCTTTTGCGTATTAAAAAAATAAAAAAGAATTGGAAAATTTAGCTTTAATCCTTAATGGCCAATGGCCACTTGCCACGTTGACCCCTCAGGACTTTGAAAACTGGGTACGTTGATTTGGTTAGTGATCCACGTAATAATATTAAATGAATATTGTGTATATCTGTCAATCTTTTATTGCCGAACAACGACAAAAATTAAATAGTTATTAAAATATTAATAAATTCATAAAGAAAGTTTTCAATATCTATCGAGACGTATTGTTGAGGATTATTGAGAGGAGAAGTTATACGTTAGCTAATCTAATTAAGAGAATGATCATAGGTTTATAAGGATGGATCACTTTCTCCATTCATAGGAAGCTATTTGGGAGAAATCATAAGCAAAGTCATGAGAGTTTATGGTCAAAGTGAACAATATCATACAATTGTGGAGAGTCGTGATTCCTAACATGGTATT